GAAGCAAGACTCTGTACGTACCTTCTCCAATGTTTGTATTGCTCTTTGATTAGCAGCCTTGTATTTACCGACCTATATCAGAGAAAATGAAACTAATAAGCACATACGAAATTTAACTTCGAAGTATTGCAAACATTAAAGTCCCAACTCAAATAAGCCTTAAACCAAAACAAAAAAAAGGCTTTTTCCTTTAATTTCATCTAAATTGCTCCATTTTATAAGTTGGAAACCACATTCATTGTTTCCCCGAGCAATCAAATAGAGCATGAGGCAAGAACACCTAATAACGAAGATTATAAATGCAAATTAATTAAAAAAATAAAACTTTTTAGTTTAGTTAAACTAAAAACAACTATAACAATGATAAAAGAAACTCTAGTTTCCTTCATTCCCTCAGCAGCCAAACAGGCCCTAACTGAACATAAAAATCAGAAAAGCAAAGACAATATGGAGGTGAAATTACCAGTTCTTCAGGCGTGAAGATCCACTTGGCTCGGTGCGTCGAGGTCTGGAAATCGGCCATGTCGACTCGGAAACCCTAGCACAGGTGCTTGCAGAAACAGACCACACAAGAACTAAAATCAGGGTGAGCGTCTGCGGAAGGAAGGGATAGGACTGCTGTCTGCAGTCGTCTTCTTTCTTTTTCTGTTTTAATTTTGTTCTGTAAAATTGAAACCTAATGTCTAGCTGGAAAATAACTTAATGTCTAGCTGGAAAATAACTTAATTAGTCGAGAGTTAAAAAGACACATGTCAATATATGAATGGAAGTATCACTTGCTGACGTGGTGATACCGTACCATTCTATAATTTCAGGTGATACCCATTTTATAATTTCTCCCGTGGAATAAGCTTCGGGTTTTGTTTTATACCAAAAAAAAAAGCTTTAGGTTTTGGACCTCTTCCTTATTTGCGTCCTAGGTAAGGTTTATGGATGGATGCATATACCAACGACATGTCGTTCTATGTTTGTTTTCCGTGGAGCACTTGTACAAAACGGGGCTCCACTTTTTTTCCCGCCTATATACATTTTCTCGCCGATTTATTTTTGTTTTACAATGTGACGCGGATTTCGAACACAAAAAAAAAAACAATGTGACGCGGAGACTTGTAAAATATAAAAGGGAACCACAATAGGCAAAAGCCCAAAAATTGGGTTTTTGGGTTTTTTCGCTCCAAATTTTGAGAAGCTAAGCATATTGGACGGAACCAGAGCAGGACTGCTTTCACGTGGAGCCCAATTTTTGCAGCCCACTCGCCCATGTGTAGAGCCAAATTTGTGTGGAGCCCAGCCCACTGAAGTCATGCTAAGCTAACCACCAGTTAGGCGCCCAGCTTTCTCACTTTTAAGGGTCCAGATCATTTTGGCAGTGAGCTCAAACCAACAGATTTCAATTTCAAATTAAGCTGCAAAGGGGTTCCTTTTTTGATTTTTACAGATTACTCATCAAAGGGATTGTCGGCCGTGAAACTTGAACCTATGCCTTGATAGCGAAGATAATGATCCTTACCAACTCAACCAACCCTCGTTGACTGAACACTTCTTTAATTGATGGTAAAATAACTCTTTTAGAAAAATATACTTTTAAGAAAAACCAACAACTACTTATGAGATTGGTACATTTTGCCAGAGATCCTTACAGAAGCTCGTCTTTCCAAAGCTCCACCTTTTGCCAAAGACCTGCTTTTAGCAACCCATCTTTTCAAAAGACATATACTTGTAACAGAATGCACCAAACGGACTTTTGTACAATCCACTTCCTACTTCTCTTGAACTGGAAATTCAGAACAAATTCCCATAATTTTTAACCTTTTCTTCCACTATTACTTTGACAACCCTATGAATTGACTGCAATTGAGCTTGAGACCATGGCCATAATTAAATTCCATTTGGACGAGACACAATTTGGTAAAGTAAGGATCTTTGCTGAGAATCTCTTATAATCAGGGTCTCTTCTTGTCCTCTACCAACCTGACCAAATTACTTGAAGAAATTGACAAGTTGGTTGGTATGAAATTGAAATGTGACAATGATTTCAGAATCTGCTTACTCACTTTGATCTCATAGCTTTTGGCTTTAAAAACCAATTAGGTGCACTTCTTATGCACTACGCAATTCACATTTTCGTGAAAGGCTCTCAAAACTGGGACCTCACACTCACTGCATTCAGCAATTCACATGCCTTGCTGCAGTTGAGCTTTTCTCTTTTTCCTCCTTTCTTTCTGTGCACAAAGACCCAAGTGCCTCTGTGCCAATTTGATTCCATGGCTTTGTCTCCCCAATTTAAGCTCGACTGAGACATTGGGAAGCACCAAGCTTTTCAAAATGCAACATGCTTGCATCTGGTCCATTCCTTTTTTTCAGTGAGTGAATAATTTTTTGTTATACTTAGTCTTTGTCTTTTGAGTAATCCATTTACATAAAGTTTGTGGCACTTTTTTTATGTTATTGTGTGTTGAGAGAATTGATCGTCTTTTCGCCTTAATTAACAATCTATTAATATAGATTAGCATGTTTATTGATTCTTCGCATTATAGTGGGATTAAGTTAATATCGTTTTAACGATTGAATTTTATTGTTTTTTTTTATAATTGCCTTTCAAATGAACCAAAAATAATCTGAAAATAAATACAATGTTGAGAGAGTAAATAAGAATCCAATTCTCATCATAATTGTACAGAATAATAAAGCACATCATATTATGAATTGTAGCTTAGTGGGAAAAAAAAAGGACTTTTTTCTGCTATATAAAGAAGAGTGTGTATATAATAGATGAAATGAAAGCGTGTGTAAAAATACCCAAGGATAAAAGCGCATGGGTTAATCAGATTACCCAGTGGTAAAACTTTCTCTCTCTTCCCATGGTGGCGGAGGCTGACTGGGCATCAGGGCCAGTTGTGGGCCAGCTTTGATGTGCTGCGATTCCATGGGGCCCACTTACACATCACTTCATCGTCGTCAAATCCAGTTAACCCCAAACGGCAAAACCCAACGCAACCCATCACATCTTTTATATTTTTGGTCTGTCCTTTCTCCTTACTTTTGCTTTTTGATTTTCGGTCAGTCTCTTTACTCCTTAATTATTTTTAAAATCAAGGAAAATAAAAAGAATAATTTACAACCAAGTATGCTTTGCTTTGGTGCCCATGCCTCTCTCTCTCTCTCTCTCTCTCTCTCTCTCTCTCTCTCTCTCTCTAAATTATTATATATAGATACAGTTTTATAAAAATAAAAATATAGAAAAAAATCCATTAAATACAAAACCCCTTTGAATTGAAGGGAAAAAAATCTACAGTAGAAAAAAAAAATGAAAAAAAAGTTTCCATATTGCCAATAAATAGCAGAAGTGTTTGTTTTGATGACAATCAATGTCCATGCTCAAATTATCTTTGAGTAGGTAGTAAGAATCTTTTGCCCAAAAGTTTATGGCCCTAATAATGTAACTTTTCCCGCCTTCTCTGTCCTATGTAAGTAACTTGTTAATTATTATTTTGTAAGCTTTTTACATTACTCCCACATATTATTATAAATGCAAATGTTATAAAATATATTAAAGAAAAGCAGATATTAGACAATGGCAACTTTATTTCTTATAGAAAAACACTTCAAATCTAATACTTTAGAACAAATATATATATATAGTCGGCTTTTTAAGGACCCAAATTTAATAAACGACACTCGAAATATGTCACAATTCATGCCACCGCCTTTTAGATAAAAATAAAAATAAAACCAAAAGCACGCGTGCTGAACCCTAAATTTCCTAACCGATCAAAACATGATAAATTCAAGTAACATCGAAACAAATGGCCAACAAAATTCTAAGAGCTCAACTCTACTTTTTCATTGTTTATCTACGTCATATAAGCCATGGAACATGAGATTTGTGTGTTGGGTTCATTGAAAGGAGGAAAGGAACAAGTTGTTTTTGAAAGTAGTGGTAAGAAGTGAAGAACGTGAATATGCATGTTAAAATAAAGCAAATCCAATTGAGTTTTGTATGATGAGAATGAGAAACCGGTGATAGTTCGTTCTCATGTATATGGTAAGTGAGAAGTTTGGGTTTATTTATTTATACAATTTAGTTCTTGAAGTGTTACATATATGTGGTAGTTCTCATGTAATTTTTATAGCATAGTGGTGTTAGAATTTTAGTAAATTTGATAAAAGTATATTTCTTTTTAAATTTTTTGTAAAAAGTCTTATTCTTTTGTCTTTTATTTTATTTTATGAAAAGGTAAGTAGAAAATGTAACTACTACCCTTTTAATAATTTTTTTAGTTCTGGAAATTTGCCATCACTATCATTAAAAAATAATTTACTGCCACTATAATAATTGCCCTCTCTATGTTTTCTTTTCTTTTACACTTGATTTCAATTGGGGTGTGTTTGGATGCTTTCCCATCAGATTCTTCACTCAGGGGACACACACAGCTTTTGAAGATCCAAACCATCCATCAATGCCACATACCCTGCTTAGCTCTCTCTCTCTCTTCAAAATTAGGGTTTTTTTTCCCCTATATATCTCTATTGTCACCCCCAAATTTTGCACTAAATTACATCACAACCACTTTTATAGTCGAATTCTCCCACCTAGTTTCTGAAACACAGAGCTTTGGGATTGGGTTTGGTGGGAAAGTCTCTGACTTGGGTTAGATCACATATCATCCTGTGGGAAATTCTCCTGTTTTTGCTGGTTTTTCTGAAGGTTTTATGGGTTTTCTTCGTGCCCATTTGATTTGTTGACTTTTAGACCGAGAATTTAATCAGAAGGCGCTGATATTGAAACATATCAAATTTTATGCGTAGTGCATGGAGTGGATTGTGGAGGCAGTGCGTAATTTTCAGAGATTTTTGTGTTGAAGGGTTGTGATTTGGGATTGGTGGTTGGTTCCATACAAATTTGAGGTTTTTGGGGAGTTTGGTTTTGATTTGGTGGCCCTGCATGTGTAAGCTTTAAGGGTCCTCTGCCCAGTTGTGGAGGATCCTATTACTAAGCCAAAAAAAAAAAAAAAAACAGAGTGGGGGTTTTGAAGTGTGATTTATACAGTGTTCGTAATTTGTGTGATAAATAGTACCGAGTTTTTGCGGCAAATAATCAAGTGGGAAGGTGTTGAATTTTGCAGCTTGTGGATTGGTTTTGGGCAAAAAATTTGCATTATATATATAGATAGATATATATACATACATATCTATCTATCTATCTAATTTGGTGGGAAATGTTTGGTTCTGGTCCGGGTACTGCACATGAAAGCAGAGGACTTTCGGGACCGGTTCTATTTCCAACGCGGTTTGTTTGGCCTTATGGCGGAAGGAGGGTGTTTCTCAGTGGTTCTTTCACAAGGTGTGGCATCGAGATGACCATTTTCACTTATAGTTCTTGTTATTTGAAAGATAATCGTTTGTCCTGTCAAAGGAGCTCAATGTATCGTTGAATATGTGATATGGATTTATATTTGATTTTCTGTATGTACAGGTGGTTAGAACATATACCTATGTCTCCAATGGAGGGCTGCCCAACTGTTTTTCAAGTTGTTTGGAACTTAACGCCAGGATATCACCAGGTTTATTTTACACACTAATTATCAACGCTATTTTACTCAGTTCAGCTTTCTGAAGTCTAAACTCTTACTTATTGTCCTCATCTCTAGTACTATAATGATTGGTAGGTATTGATATGGATCACTGTCATGTGCTCTGCTCTGCTCAATTGAGTTTGGTTGCATAAGGGATAAGCAATGCACTATTATGAAACAGGATTAGTGATTTATGCTGTATCATTGTCTCCTCCTTTGCTACATTATAAGTGAAGAAATATTTCTGTAGGAAACATTGTAAAACCATTGGTTCAGAAACAAAATTGGTTCAGCATGAGCAGCTATCAGGCTTCTCTTGTTCTGTAAATATCACCTTCCTAATTGTGGTAGAGCACTGGTTTAATAAGGATAAGCAACACTTTCCATTGTCTACTGAAGGACCATTTGACAGTACTCATCAATAAGCTCTATCAGGCCCTCTACTACCAAAGACATAAAAAATGTTGGCTGGACGAGTTCAAATTGGCGGAACACAAATGTGACTATTCCTCTCCTTTGGTTTGGAATGAGCCAACAAGGGTTAACTTTTCATCATCAAAATACATGAGCTCGGAACCCCTACAAATCATTGCATTGATATTGTGTTGTGAGAACTGCCCCTATATGCTTTAATGTATATAGAGGAAAGATAATATTACCGTTCACTATATGCTTGTTGTGCTCTATCTATAATGCTCCTAATATGCTGATATATCCTTGTTGCTACCTACTTGTGGTGGCCACACCAAGGGCTAGATATGCTTGCTCACTGGCACATTATACAATATGAATAAGTCTCATGCTGATATCAGATGTGTTGTTTCCATTAATTGCAGTACAAATTTTATGTTGACGGTGAATGGCGACATAATGAGCAGCAGCCTTTTGTTACTGGGAATTGTGGAACTGTAAATACCATCTTTTTAGCTGGGGAACCAGATATGGTTCCTACTAGTTTCAGTCCTGAAACTTCTGGCAGATCCAACATGGATGTAGATAATGATGTATTTACACATGTGGTAAGTTTTTTGCTTGTATTTATATTGAGGGCCTTCAAGTTGTCTTGCAATACAGAATGGGTCATGTTGTAAGGCGGTCTATTGCAGGAAGCAGTTCCTAGGTTCTCACAGGCTGATCTTGACATCTCTCGACATCGTATATCTATGTTCTTGTCCAGACATACTGCTTATGAGTTGCTTCCTGAGTCAGGCAAGGTTTGAATGCTCTACCCTTTTGCAGGTACTGTTTATAGTTAGTAGTTTATTTGGCTGACCTCTGTAATCTAATAATTGTGTTAACATTGCAGGTCATTGCCTTGGATGTTAATTTACCTGTGAAGCAAGCATTCCATATCCTATATGAACAGGTAAATGTCTTTTCCACAAAAACATGTGCACGCCTCCACTTAATTCCCCAGCTTTCCTAATTTGATTGTCTTTGTTCAATATACATCAGTTCCTTGGACATCTATGCTGTTTAAACAATTCATGCTTGGTAATAATTTGCATTTTGTGCTTATCTTCATCCTTGGTTGCTAATATAAGTTCTGTTCAGGGAGTACCTGTGGCGCCACTCTGGGATTTTGGCAAGGGCCAATTTGTTGGAGTTCTTAGTGCGTTGGACTTCATCCTAATTTTGAAAGAGGTGTGCCATGTGTAAAATTTGTCATTCCTTATTGCTAGTATATGGTTATGCTAGTTTTGGATGAAACACAGTAAGATGGTTGAAAGTTTAAATTCTTTGAGGTGCACATGTAACTAAGATGCTTCTAAGCTTCAACTATACATTGCAAGGTACATAGTAAGCTTGTTCTTGTGAAGTTTCCCTTATTGAACGTTCATAATTTAGACATGTATCATCTTTCCTTCCTGGCACCACCAACCTAATGTTGCATGCCTATTTTTCCTTTTCCAAACCTTGCTGGAGATACATATTTCGTTTTCCAAATAACCTTTAAGTTCTTCATTCTCCTCACTGGGACAACTGTTTTATGCGGCTCATGAGTTTTCATGGATGGCAATCTCAGATTGTGGTTCTTAATATCATTAGCCGTTTTTCCTTTTTGGTGTGTGGACTGCATGCTTGATTCTGGAAACGTATCTTGCTTTATAGATGTTGGTGACCTTGGCATTTGTTTTGTTTTTTGAAATTCACTCTCACTTATACACAGACAAGCACTTCCTAGTTCATTTTCAGTTTATTAAAATGTATGGATTTTATGAAAGCTTGGGAATCATGGGTCCAACTTAACTGAGGAAGAGCTTGAGACTCATACTATAGCAGCATGGAAAGAAGCAAAATTACGTCTAAACAGACTACTTGATGGCAATGGGAGATGCTTTCCACAACGTTTGGTCTCTGTAAGTTCCTCCTGAGGCGCTAATTTATATTTTCTCTTGAAATGAAATGTTTCCCTTTGAAATTATATAATTCATAAATTTTTTACCTTTTTTGGCCTTTTGGTTAAGATCTAGTGTATTATAGTTCATAAATTTGTGTAATGTTCTCTTTTAAACAATTTGGAAAAGTTGGTACTTCATTCTGACTGCATTTATATGTGAAGCACATATATGCTCAAGAAAATTTTCAAATGTCGAAAAATGGGATTACATATGCACTAAGGGTAGCTAAAATCTGCATGTTCTTTCTTAAGGGTTCTGGTGCTGAATTATGGCAGAACATGGATTCACTGAAGGTTCTTGATTTCACAACATGATAATGCTTATTTGTATGTGTACTGTTTTGATATGCAGGCTGGGCCTTATGATTCTCTCAAAGAAGTTGCTTTGGGAATTTTGCAAAACAAGGTGGCTACGATTCCAATTGTCCATTCTTCTTCACAGGATGGTTCATTTCCACAGCTATTGCATCTTGCTTCTCTTTCTGGAATACTAAAATGTAAGTTTTTCTCCAGTATTTTGGTTAAGGTTAGGCATTTAGTTACTAATCTGTAACAAAACTTTCAGGCATGTGCAGGCATTTTAGACATTCTTCTAGCTCCTTGCCCATTCTCCAACATCCTATATCTGAGTTCCCTATAGGTACATGGGTTCCAAATATTGGGGAGCCAAATGGACGGCCGTTGGCAATGTTGAGACCAAATTCATCTCTTGCTGATGCTCTGTCTTTGTTGGTACAAGGTTATATATCTTTTTTCTAGCTATTTGCTTCACTACCCGTAGTGGGTGATAATTCATCTCTTGCTGATGCCCCGTCTTTTTTGCAGCTGAAGTTAGTTCAATACCCATAGTGGATGAGAATGATTCGTTGATGGATATTTATTCACGAAGGTGATATTTAAATTTTTTAAATTTATATGTGCATCAAGTTTTATGTATAACTAATCCGTTGTTTGTTAACCAATTGTGGAATGTGTCTGTTATATCTTCCCTAGTGATATTACCGCTTTGGCAAGAGATAAAGCTTATACACAGATTCACCTGGATGAATTGAGCATCCATCAGGTAAAATTTCACATTTGAAATGTTTGGTAATAAAAAAGCCAGGCACAACACTAAAAGTTCCTTGGACAATAACTGAACTGCTTGTTTGACTATGATGTTGCAACTTGCAAACTTGTATTCCACCGCTTTGAGAACTGAATGTGCTTGTCTGCATTGTGTATTGTTGTAGACATTGCAACTGGGACAAGATGCAAATTCTCCTTATGGCTTCCTCAGTGGACAGAGATGTCAGATGTGTTTGCGATCAGATCCTTTGCATAAAGTGATGGAGCGCTTGGCTAATCCTGGTACATTGCTTGCTCATCTGCATTAGTATTTTAGTATAATTAAAATAGCTTTCCTTTTATGTTCTTTGCGTTATATATATATTTCCTTCAGAAGTTGCTTCCTTTATTTATATTTTTAGGGGTTAGGAGGCTGGTGATTGTGGAGGCTGGCAGCAAACGTGTAGAAGGGATTATTTCATTGAGTGATGTATTCAGGTTCTTGCTAGGCTAGCTAGCATAAAGATGTTGGCTACGATATACCATGGCGTGGCTTGTGGCAGTGGCATTGGGGGCGATTTTCCTTTGGACACTTTTTTTGTCTTACACATGCTGAATGGCTTCATTTAATCACTCAGATCTTTTACGGGCCTCATGTTTCTGAGCCCCATCTTTTGCTAGAATAGAAATTTCAAAGAGAAAATCTGTAAATTGTGAGGATTCAAATTTTCCCTTTTTCATTGATATAAACCTATTTATCAACTCCACCTTGTCCGCGGTCTTTAATGTTAAAGCTAATAGAATGACTGCAAAAAGAATTTGGTAGTGTACATGGCACCTCTTGCGGTACCTTGCATTGCAAGAAACTGGCAATTTAGATGTTGGGTTTTATTTCTCTATTTGATTTTTTTGGGATGGCTTGTCAATATCTTACTGTGGTTGGTCAAAATACTTATCAAGTTTCCATGGGACTTTTTCTTCCTCTTATGGCCCATGGGTGTCCTGTCCAGTCTCACTAGCAGTGGCAAATAAGGTCAGCCGAGGTGTTGGCGCTGGATTTTGAATGATTAAGCTTGAATTGCTTGGAAAGTAAATTTTGTTTTAGGTAAGTTAATCCTAAAATTTTCACTGAAAAATGAGCGACAAGCATTTGATTAGATTCCGTTAAAAAAAAAGCTCCGTCAGGGTATGCACAGAAACCATTTTACAAGATGAAGATGGGGCGAGAGGAAAAGTTCGAATTATTCAATAATTAACATAAAATCATCGATAGAAAAAAATTATTCAAAAAGTTACCTATATTTTACATTTATGCCCATTTTATATTTATATACTCTCTTCCTAAGGGCGCCATCTGAAAATGAGAATTGGGGGTCGTTTGCGGTTGTTGGGTTGTTATTTTCCTAATTTTATTTGCAAGGGTAAAATTGACATTTAATGTGCAATAAAATGTTCAAATATCCAATTTCAAATTTCTGAAAGAAAATAGGCTCTACTTATCTCTTTAGACGAGTGGTTTCTTCAACCACGTTGGAAGCCATCACTTATTCAAAATCAGAAAATATAGATCACAACATAGCTGAGTTGCAGCTACAGGCACCAGTATGATTGAGAATCTGTCAAGCAGAAACATGTATTGGTCTTTTCTTTTGGCCAATGCGGGAGACATTAGTTGGTTACCACCAAAAAAGAACCAAAAAAAGAGAACAAACCCTAAACAACGCCTTATCAACTATATACACGGAGCTGCTGCTTCTAATTTACAGGCTTCTTGGCAAAAGCCATGCAACTCAATCTGACCCACGTAATCGTCAGTCAGTTGAGTTTGGTATAGAATAATTTTAGAAATCAAGATGAGATGACTCTAGGGACTGAATGGAAGCACCGGACTCAAGTTGGTACCAGTGCTAATATCTGGGTCTTGATTCTGCCCATGCACATTTGAATTTCTCTGTAAATTCCAACATTCTGTGGACACCGTGGATGCAGGCTTGTGACAGCATAATCTAAAACTTGGGCAACAACAGCCGGAGGATATTGTCGTTCGGTGCATGTCTGCACACCACAAGCGAAAAATATTCAGCATAATGCAGTTACAGGTAGGAAATGATTTAGGGAAAATAAACACCACCACCCCCCTCTCTAATGGATCAAGTAGGATAGAGCATACTCAGTTTACCTGTATCATGTGCACAGCCATTACACAAGCTGAGATAACGTCTGAAAGAACCTGTGCCTCAGTTTTTTCAGTATCAGTATTCGGCTTTGGACCAGGTGAATCGCTGGTAAAGTTGGGATCTGATGTACTGGAAATCAACTGATTGCGATGGCCCAAATTACCATTCACTTGCTCTTGAGACCTGTTTAGAGATAATCTAGAGTCTGATGGCAGATGCTGGTTATCAATGGAATCTAGAGCCTCTCTTATCCTTACATAAGCATCTTCCCCTCCCTTCCTTGATGACATTGCCTGCAATGACACAGAATCATTGTGTTATCACACTAACTGCCTTCTATCTTCATGCCAAAGAATAAGGAAAAAATAAAGATAAGAGCAACTTCTGGGATTTTCTTCAACAAAAGAACAAAGAAAAACAATGCTTGGATTTTCAACCATTTGATCTGTAAATTACTAAAGGATCACCCAAAGGGTAAGTTATGGCCTGAACAGGGAAGACCAGTATCCTACAAGCCAAAATTACAACACATCGACTTTTTACCGGGGAGAGACCCTCCATACCTGAATAGCAGCATTTACCATCATATGTGCTTTCGATCTTGAGACTTCAACAATTTCAGCCACACTAGATCCTGATTCTTGAGATATGGAACTGTCGAAGGAACTTGGGAGGCCACCATAGACGGTGGAATTGGCTGGCTGTTTCAGCCAAGGAGGCAGGGAATTTGCTGGATAAGTATTACGTTGCCTCAAATTAAGCAAAGCTGAAGAAACCTGCATGCGGAAACAAAAGTATTATAAGGCCGCTACAAGGTCAGAGCAGAATGTGGAACACCAAATACAGATATAAAGCATGATATAAATTCACGGAAGCCACATGCCTGGCCACTGGCTTCCTTTAGCTGTACAAGTACCGTGGCGTAATGCTTCTTAAAAGGCTCGCTATCTTTTAAAGAGCATTCTCCACTGTTCTGGTTTTCCAAGATGTTATTATTTGTGTTCCTAAGCTCCATCAACAATGCCTCCTAAAATTCCAAAAACAAAATGAACTCTTTCTGAGCATCATTACTAATTCAAGGAAGATTATCAAAGAAGCTTGATGCTGAAAGATTCATAGGGATAGACAACACTTAAGACAATTGATCAAGGTGGAAAAGGATAAGCAAAAGTACAGTGCTGATCGTTGGTTTCACCAAGTCCACTTGTAAGGAAAGCTGGATCTTTCAGCTGTTCCATACAGTTTACTTATCACCAACAACGATATTGAGGAAATTCTAGAAGACCTAAGGAGTCTAGGAGGAAGTGGCTTAAAAGTTGAAAGCACTGAACAAAAGATTTACACATGGAAGACAGCTTTCAAGCCAACTGAAATTACGAGAAGACAACTAAATGCATGGGTAGTTCGGCATCAGAATGTTCTCAAATGAATTATATACATCTATAATCAACTTCAAGGATAAAAAAGAAGAAGTTATAACCTTCTTATCAAGAGCACGAGTCAACTCAGAAAGAGCTCGTATGTCTGCGTCCCTTGCTTGATTATGTGCCACCACCATACCAGGTTGACTATATGTTGTCTGTTGTGCTTGTGCTCTACCAATATCAGCAGAAGCTGCCTTTGGTTGTGAAGTTGTATGGTTTGAATCCCCCTGTACAAAATTGTACAGAAAATTAAGTTTATTATATACGACAACTAGTATCCATACTTTTAAGACTGATCCATGTCACTGGAACACCCTCCCCCCCGACCCGACACCTATTTTTCTCTATAAAAAAACATTAATGCAGTTCACCCATTACGAAGACTAGGTTCAACTATGTAAGTCTCTCTTCTACTCTCTTTTTTCCCTAATCTCTCTTCTACTCTCAAATGTACATATGAACTGGGTTGGCCACTAAATGCCTGTTACCAGTAGAAGAGCGTGATTACCAGTGATTGTGAACCTAGGGGCATCTGGGAGTTTGGTGCTTCCCAAGTGAAATTATAGTAAAAAGCTTAGTCATTTGCAGCTCAAGCTACCTTGTATATTTGGTTGAAAAGGCAAGTGCCCATTTCTCAATTTTTTTTAACTGATCAACCACAGACCCTCTAGATTTAGAACATCCTCATACATTCATCAATAGATCTTTTACCCTCAATCAAGTCAGGTGACAACCATAATCATAAATTGTAAAATGTTAATGAAAATGCAAAGATTAAACTAAGGTCAAATGCAACATCTACAACACGAAAAGGACTTCCAGAATATGAGATAAGCAGTGGATTCTATGAACTGAGCAGATGTTATGCACAATTTTTGCTTAGTAGAAATTCTGACCTTTCCCTGCTTTACGGAAGTATTCACGGGGCTAGTTGCTTTCTCCAAATGCGGGCCTCCAAAATTTAGATTCCCATTCTTATTGGCCTCCATAGATGTAAGAGAGAATTTGTCAAAAGCAAAATTCTGTCTTCTAAGAGCTTCTGGCATATTATCCAATGGGTTCAACGGCATACAATCCACATCCTGCAATGAAAAATTCTCATGTCATATCTCAAAGAAAGAAATAGATTGTCCTGATGTAGCACATTCACTCACTCTCGATAGAACATAAGAAATAGGAACCAAAGAACCAAAATAATGAAATAATAAAATCTTCAAGCAGAAGACCAAAGAGCAACCTCAGGTGAAATCATCTGGGTTCATCTATCTTTTCATTAGTGTATAATTAGGCTGTAACCTTTGAATGTAACCTAAAGTTTTTATGGTTTGTGTAGTATAATTTTTATTGTAATTAATAGCCTCATAATTTTATATTCAATTTCAGATCGATAAAACAGTTCAGCAAAAGCTAAACAGAATATAGAAAATAATTTAATAATCATGTAATAGCCTAAAAGTAATATCTAAAATTAATGTATCATATCTCACCTAATATTTAATTTACAAAAAAGAAAAAGAAAAAAGATCAAGTATCTCAATTCAATAACGATGCAGACAAATGAATAATCAGATAGAATGGTTAAGGGAAAATAGTTGACCTAGCATCGGCTACTATTAAAGTCACTAAAGATCAAATAAGCTCATATTTTGTGTGTGAAGATGGGTGTATGTGTCAAAAGATAGTTTGATGAAAATGAGGGGGGCAGAGAGAGAGAGAGAATCAAAAAGAGTTTTCCCCTGTGACAATACGAATACAAAATGGAAAGTACAACATACCATGACAAATTCAACTCCTATATCTGGACGGTCAAACTGAACCCTACACTTATCGTGATCAACTGTGAGCACACTTCCATCATGAACTTCTCTTGTCTTGGGATGTAGAGCAATCACTCGTTGCCCAACCGATAAAGGTCTTGCTAAATCTGTTGGGAGTCCTTCCCTATCACCAGTTCGGAGTTCAGCATAATGTTTCCTTACAGATTCCCGATATTGTTTAAGTTTCTCCCTTTCTTCATGTAGAAAGTGCTCAGAAAACCTCCGAGGTTTTCCAAGGGAACTGCAATATAAAGAAAGCAATACAATAATCTTCTGTTGGTATTTTCAAATTCACATACCATAATCTACCTAAACAACTTGAAAAAAGTACCTTCTAATGACACCCCATTCAACACGAGTTAGTCTCGGTATGTGTCCCAGTCCAACATGATTCAAGTACTCCTCAAACTCCCTTTTAGCAAACCAAGGGTAGTCAAGTGCACTATAAAACCACTCAAAAGTGCACCATCTACGTACTAAATGTGATGACAAGCAGCAAGAAGTCTTCTCCTGAAAATTACACGAGAAAATAAGACTTTGGCTCTAAACTTAACTGTTGAAAAGTGTACGGAAAAAAAGGGGGGGAAGCATGAGATTACCTTTAAATACAGTGCTCTGTCCTGCGCCGAGCTGGAGCGTATGTTAAGTTGATTTTTTAATTTTTTCTCAGAAGACTTCTCTTTGGGGTGCAATGTTCTGGGTATATACATTTTACGTCTGCTTATTCGTTTTGTTGGCAAATTAACATGGTTTGAAGTGGGAGCTTGTGCAGTCGTCACTGTCAAATCAGTCCCTGTTCGCCTATAATCGCTATTCAAAGATCCTTCCAGGGATCTGGTCGATTTCCATTGTTTTGAAGGAGTAGAGCTTTGATTGGTGCGTTTTCCTTTAGTCACTGGTTTATTTTCTTCTTCACCAAAGGCCTACAAATATGGCGCGGGAAAAGTAAAACATAACTCAATAACCAAATGGCAGGTAAACGATCAGTTACTTTCATTCAAAAAAACTGAAAACATAAGAAAGATTTATCATGTTGAAGTTGAACATGACAAACTTCTTATTTGATAATGTAAATAAAATTATATCTTTTAGGATATTCAACAAATTTACTACCAATATGATATATTTATTGAATGGTCATATCCTACTCTTTCAAGAATTGCCATATTGTTGTATCAGTGTCATATGGTTATCCACGCTTCATAAATAGGCACATAGCTACAAGACTCACAACGATAACAAGGTATAATCAACCATCAGTCCAGAAAGTAACCACAAAGCCTTGGCTCTCTTAGGAAGAAAGAAAAAAACATTTGTAAATGTGAATAAAAGAGCTGCATACCTCAGTCTTTAAAGGTTCATTTAAATTAGAATCAATAGGGGCATCAGCATTTGATATCTGCACATGGACAAGAATTGTCGTTTGTCATCAAATAACCCAAATGTTAAACAAAAATTAAGATAAGAGAGATATAAGAAAATTTTATGTTGATAATTAACCCTCATCCCTGTGTTTACCTTTGATACTGAGGACTTCCGTTTCCTTTTCCATGTTTTAGTGGTAGACTGGAGCTGTTGCTCCGATTCAGAGACAGCAGTAATATCAAATGCCGGCTCCCTCCCAAGTTTGGATTTTTTGGAATTAGTACCCTCAACTCCAGAAATTGCAAAAGGTACTCTATGTTTTGCGCTGGGGATTTTATTTTTGTTTCTAGATTGGCTTGTAGATGTAGCTTCAGGCACACTAAATTTATCTTCCACATCAAGGTTTGTTCCTTCCTCTTTCAACTGGACAGATGATCCTATATCCAACAAATAACAATCACATAATAATTAAAAGAAAATATTTAATTAGTAAACTGTGCATAATAGATGTGTGTAATTAACAAGAATTGCACCAAGATAAAAACATTGAACCCCGAGAACCAAGTGCAATGTACAAGCCTCCAATAAATTTTATTTCATGGGAGGTCATCTACTTCATTTTTCTTCTAATTTATCCATCCTCTAAAAAGTAAAGATGAGGGATGCCTGTTGATCAACATGAATGTCTCACTAAAGATGAAATTCAAAAGGATGCCTGTTGATTATTCTCTATATATAGACGAAAGGAAGGGGCAGGGAAGGAATCACACAATCCCATGTGCAAACAAATCAATCTATAGAATTTCCTAAACCACAACCTACATACCAGATTCCATTGTGGATTCTGGCATCATCAGAGACAAATCAGCCAAAGTTTGCAGAGCATCCAAGCATGAGCTTTCATCTACAAGAAAACAATTGGAATATCAATATATTGTTACAAGAGATACAAAGAAAACCTCAATCAAAATAGCAGGTTGCAAACACATAGCTGAAAAAGTAGGGATATATAGTTCATGATTCACAAAAATAAAAAGATGTTAAAAAAATGATGCCTAAGGCACAAAATGCAAGTGATGGAATTCAGAATTGAAATGGTCATTATAGGTGCATGTGTATCTAGGTGTGGCTGCCCCTAATTGTCATTTTAACAAATCGTTTATCCAAAAAAGCAAAAGTCACATATATCCAGAAAATTACCTTAGGTTGAAAATTTCATTAACTAATATTAATAACATATTTTATAGAAACTGGCCCACTCAGGACAAAGTCATAATCCTTATATTTTACAGTGGAGAAGATTCAAACATACGGTCTAGTCCACCTGGAAGACAACGCTTCTCTTGATAACAAATTCATGTGATCCATAATCAACTCTGAAATTACTGAAATCTAAAAGTAAACTCCAAAGATGGATCTCTGATGAGCACCTCCCACCATCCAATATGCTGAAGAGTTGCGGAACTAACTGAAAGCTCTTCAGGAAAATTATTTCCCAGTTATATCCCACGATTTGGTTGAATTCAGAAAATTCCCTCTAGGTTCAAAAATCATATCCAAACTCAGCACCAATAAGAGTATAAACTAGAAAGCCCAGATTCTAAATGTACAAAAAATGAGACTGACTGGGTCCTTGTTAAAAAATATCTTGTCATAAATTTAAGTAAAAAACCCACTTCTGTTACCATGTTCTACCAGTTACCATATCTGACATTGGTACTGGCACCTACGCACTTAAGTTCAATACAGACTATTTGGACTTTGAAGGAAAAATCATATTCCAAAAAAATAAAAGATAACATCACTAACTATTTCAACTTTCAATTTCATGAGAAGAAAAACAGCAACAGAGAAAGAATCACATAGTCATCTCTCTGTGTCCAGGAATGCAAAAGATACATAAAAGAAAATATTACCTCCAAAATAAAGTTTCTTGCTTCTCTTCCTTTGACTTTGTGGAGAAAATCGTTCCCCTTTTGTATTTGAAACTTCAATATCATCTTTCCCCCTCGAACTGACATTAAGTCCTTCTTCAGTGCCACTGCATGCTTCACCACCATCATCAAACTGATGATTCCCAATGTCTTTAGCTTTCTCTTTCTTTCCATAGAACTTCTTACCCTTCCAATTAATTTCTACTGTACCTACACCTTCTAACGAATCTCTGGCATAATCTCCAGTTTCAGCCCCCTTGCTTCCTATACTACCTTCCAACCAGTCTTCGTCCATCGAAGGATCACGAAGATTAGCCCGAGCTTTCCCTCGTGGTGGATGCTAAATTACATAAACAAGAAAGAAGCAAATAATTGAATTTTCAAACATCTATGAACAAGGCAACAAAGGTAGTGCAAGAACAAGTGGAGCCATATTATGTACCATTCTTTCTGAGCTCTGAACAGAAGAAGATTTTACATGCACGGGTCTTCTGTATGGCGTTTGAGAAATTTGGGGAGAGCCTCCTCTTTGCGAAGCCTCAGTTAATAATGCTGCGACATGCGCAACTTCATCATCATTGTCCCCCTCTGACCTCCGACCCTTTTTAATTGGAGAGACATAAGTATCCCTATCATCTTTCTTATATGCATATGAAACTGGGAAGCGAGGTGTCCTCTTCCCAACTGCCCGAGGCTGGCCACCTGATTAAAATTTGAAGTCACAACAACAGAAATCAAGCTTCAGATGGTAATCATTTTTCTCGTAAGCATTGCACCATGAAAAAATGTATTCAAGTTACAGTTCCCATGATCATAGAATGAAACCAATTTGTACAAAGAACAGAATAAAGTTGATTAAACACCAGTATGATGGTGTTCATCATATAAGGTATCATACCATCAAGCCTTCTCCTTTTTAATAATGATAGGCATCCTTCATGTGAAGCACTTGAATGCGACTGGAAAGCATCTTTCGAGGCACTGAGCTGATCTTTCCCAAGCTTACGTTTCTGCGGTTTCCGAGAAAATCCTAAAGCATCATTGCTCTCTCGTTCACTATCACTGCCTTCCTGTTAATTAACAAGTAGAAACCACGTTACAATGAGATCCCCGATGAGTAGAAATATTCAAGTTCATAATAAGATAGCACACACAGGTTCACAAATTCCAAATAAAATCCAAAATCAGGGGAAAACTTGAAATTGTAATCTAATCTCACCATAACATTATAGTGATCTGTCATCATCGCTTTAAGGCCAACCACAGAAGCTGTACCCTCTGGCAGTGACAAGTATGCCTGAAACAGAAGCATTAACAATTCCTGTTGTCAGAGATGGTAAAAGACAACCTTATAATGAATGTTTAATGATTAAGTTAAAGTAGCATAGACCACACATACTCGGTTCATATTGTAAAGAGCCTCCACCATCTCAACGCTTCTGTTGCGCACTGCAGCAGCCACCTAGAGATCAACAGAAATTAATAATCTAACAGATAGGGGAATAAAGACAACATAAAGTGCATAAGAAATGATTCACTGAAGCATAAACTACAATTAGTAAGACATTAATGTGGGCAAAATGAAATTTCCCTACAATATGTCTCACCAAGTAATGTGCAACTTGCCTACAGCTGATATATCATAATAGCAGCTATAGTTGTCTACAAAATTTCCAAAGGCAACTGAATCAGGAGAACAAACACTAGCATACCTTCCTCCAATCTTTCCCATATTTTCGGTAGGCATCATAAAAACGCTCAAGCTCTCCCTTGCTCCACTCCGGTCCCAACTTATCAGACAACTTTCTCTTCTATGCAAAAAATTTGAACAAACACAACATCAAGTCATCTGAATAAATGGTCTTCATATATGCTAAATTGAAAGAAGAAAAAAAAATAAACCAGGAGTTACCTTTTGCTTTTTTTTGTTTGACCCTCCGCCATATTTCTCAGGAGAGGCCTCATTTACAGTTGCATACCGCTTTACACTTTTGGATTTTTTTGTTGGGGCCATGGAAAAACTTCAAGTGTCTGAAGCACATAAGGTAATAAAATTAGATAACTGCATGTGTGGCACTGATTTTAAACATATTCCTACCCAGTTGCATCAACTACAGTTTCGATAATCAGCTAATCGTGCCAATACCCTCTTCAAGAATAATTAGCCAAATGAAAACCCATTTTCTCTAAAAATATGTCATTTCTCCCTGCAACTTAATATTCCAATAAGATCTACAGCCTCAAAGACTGATCCTTAGAAAACAACACGGAAATGGAATGACTCACCCATTAATCCACAAGGTACAACCACTTCAAAAAATCCCTTTCTTCTTCTTCTTCTTCTTTTTTTTTTTTTTTTTTTTTCAAATGATGAGGAACACATATATTTTATCAAACAAACGCCTTCCCTTTTGCTGATTATTGTTTTCTCAGAGCAAACTAATTTTCGAACGCACATAGTGTGTGGAATTCAAAATCTACCTTAGCACAGCGCAGGCACCAAATTCAGATTCGATAAAATGCTTGATTCCCAGAAATCACATCACATTATAAGATCGACTCCCAAAATTCAAAAATTCACTAATTCACTCTACATGCAATCAGTCAAAGCCACAAAAAAACCTGGTTTAGAAAAGACTTTTTTCAGAAACACTTCGAAAAGCAACAGAAACAAAGAAATCAAGAACTAATTTTCAAAACATTAGCTAATTTCAAATTATTCTCTGTCGCAACACTTTTTTAAAACCCTAAAAATCACAGATCGGAGGTACTTACTCGTTGTAGGGTTTATGCAAACCCAAATTGAACAATCCGCGAAAGGGAGAGAGAGAGAGACTTTTAGAGAGAGAAAGTGGTTCGGAGAAGGAGAGGGACTTTAAGAGAGAGAGAGTGCGTATTGTAGAGAGAGAAGGATAGAGAGGAGGCGTTGCCGCGAAACTTGAATATAAAGGTGAGAGGACAGAGCCAATGAAAATTTTTCGATTTTCTTTTTCTTTTTCATTATGGTTTTTCAGAGAGCGTGTAGAAGATGAGGGTAAAGGAGGAAAGGAGGGAGAGTACGGGGTTTGTATTTGAGGGGTGCTGATCACCGTACACGTGGACCCCGTGAAGGATCTCTACGGTTTGAGTTTGATGTTGGTGTTTGGTTTGGTACGAATGAGCATACGAGATTGGATTTGAAAATTTTCTGGATGCGGATATATCAAAAAGTTAGTGCCCCTTGCAATCAAAATTTTTTTTGAAAAATTATTAGTGGGTAGACCATGGCATTGGGGGTAGGTCAGTTCATATTTGGGCCAGGCCCAAATACTAAAACATAGAGGAATTGGTATTCAATTCAAAGGGAGCTTCTATAATGAGGGTTTATAGTGAGGAGGCTATTTGAGGAGGCCCATCTCACCATCAAAAGGGATGTGGACCCCCCAATGCACCCCCCCATGTACTTTGTTTTTAGTTGTTGATGGTGAGATTTCACCTCCTCAAATAACCTCCTCACTCAACCTCCTCATTTTAGCCTCTTCACAATTCAAATAATTTCTTATAATTTGGTTTGGGCCCCAAAAATAGTTCATATAAAAAACAAAATTGATTTATTTACATAACACTTGAGGCGGGCAAAACCACTTGTAACCCATTGAATGAGAAAGCTTTAAATTTCCTATTTCATCTGCAGAACATTGTAGAATTTGAAGCTTGAAGTTGTGCCACAAACAACATGAGCCCAATTGCTGAAGAAAATCTTGCTTCGGAAGTTTGACATGAAGTGCAAACAAACTTGTCATAATGAGATGCAGAAGTTGCCATTGAAATTTAGGGTTTAGATCAGAAGAACTTGCATCGAATCGAAGGAATGCCGATTCAATGTATGCGGCATGATGCTATTATTGTCAGAGCAGCTCTGCTAAACAAATTACAACACCATGGATCCTGCATAGCAATGAAACTGAAATTCTGATTTGATGAGAACTCCTGATGATACATGGAGAAATTGAAACGGACAACGAGATCAGGTATCATAATATCCACTTTGGATCTCTAGCACTCCTTTCCATCTGTATGAGTTGCAATTTGCAACCATTCACTTCAGGAACCAAGTATGAGCCCTCAGCATCTAAAGTGAACCAAGTACTACCATTCTCATCGTGGATGAGGGATCTATCTTTCAATTACGCGTCTACTGTTTCTATAGTCATCAAAGCCCCTGTCCTTGTCCCTACCATATTCATTAACCCCTCCACGCTGCTGCTTTCCAAATCCTTCTCTTCTAGGCCCCTTAAAATTATGTGCATCAGCCCCTCTGTTACTCCTTCTCTGCCCATCAAAATCGTTCCCCCGAAATCCTTTGTTATTACCGCGAGACCCTCCTGCCGATTTATCAAAATCATCATTGAAAGAATTCCTCCCACCACTCTTTCCAAACCCTTCTCTTCTAGGACCCCCCTTAAAACCCTGCTTATCACCACCTCTGTTACTCATTCTCTGGCTGTCAAAATCATTCCCTCGAAATCCTTTATTACTACCATGAGACCCTCGTGCTGATCTGTCAAAGTCATTGTTGAAAGAATTTCTCCTACCACCCTTCATTCCACTGGATTCAAATTGTGTGTCTCTGGTAAAGTTAAGGCTGCCCCGACCTTTGAAATTGTTTTCTTTAGGCCTTCTCAGTCTATTTTTATTGGATTGAAAATCATCATTGTCTGATTCTGAACCAGAAACTGAATCATCTTCAATATCAAAATTTCCTCTCCTATGAAAATCTCTTCTCCCAGAACTTAATTTACTCAATTTACCTTGTCTGGATCCAAAAGTTTGATCTACATCATCTACATCAGAAGACAGTCCAAGTTCATCATCAGAACCAAAGCTTAATCCCCTGGATGGACCAGTTGTATTTCTACCCCTACCTCTTGATCTAGAATCAGCAACATGACTAGATTTCCAGTTGGGATGGGCTGAAAGCTCTTCATCAGAAACAAGTTCACCATCATCTGAGACAGAGAACGCTGCCTGTTGACGTGTAGACTTATGTGACTTATTGTAAGAAGATTTTGTTCTGCGACGACCATGCGAACTATTGTCAGAGCCTTCAATGTCTTCTGATTCGGACCCTTCAAATTCCGAAAAATCAATTGAACCGCTCTGTGCTGAATTTTTATTGTTAGTGTCTAACTCGTAATTGTCAATATCATCATCTTCATCATTAAAATCATCAAACCCTCTTCCTGGCCTAACAGTATCACCATCAGAGTATTCTTCATTGTGAACCCTTGGTACTCTGCTATTTTTAGGGCGGCCAAAATTTTGTCCTTGAGCCTGGTTACCAAGAGAACCTTCACCTATTACTGAAGAATCTGCATATTCAAAAGCAGCAACATCTGCCCCGTCTGACTCATTGTCATCAAAATCAAAATTCCAGGCATTAGAGTCCCCGTGAAGAACAGCAGTCTTCTCCATCCTTGTCCTAGGGCCACGTTGCATTTCTTGCACTTTGTTCTCCAGATATTCGTCCGGTGGGCGCTTGCAATCACAATGAAAGCATGCCATATTTCTCCTATAATTTAAAAAGTTGCACCTGACATATAGCAGAACAACATAAGAAAATCAAGAATCTCGCAAACTAAAACTAGCTACAATAAAGATATGACTGTGTATCTAAAGGGCAGATATAAAAAATTATGGGAAAAGCCAAGAGTGATATCTTACCCAGGGCATTCCCATTCTCCTGGAAGCAGTTGTCTCTTTGGACGTTTGGCATCACATTGCAGGCAGATGGTGTTCTTGGCAAAATTCATGAAGTCACACCTGATACCAGTATTCAGAATCATCAGCGAATTCTAGAAGTCAAAAATTTCATAAAAACAAAAGTGGCTGACAACATAATTAGCTTATTCAGTTCAACTATGCTTCTTAACAACAGAAAGAAAGGCTAAAAGTATCAATGAGCTAAGTCAATGGAAAGCCATTTATGGGATCTAAAGAACATAGCTATTCCTCATAGGAAGCCAAAAATACAGTCCCTTTATTCTGGGCTGAAGCCTAAAAGCATGACATGACATGCAAAATAACTTTAATACGAGTACACAAAACTAGACCTGGCAGATAGGAAGTTTGCCAAAGCAACATGCCACGTAATACTCATATGCATTTTCCAGAAAATTACCAACAAAGTATTAATTGTAGAAAACAAATAAATTGGTCATGATCCAGAAGAATAAAATAAAAAGAAATTAGAAGAAGCATACTTAGAGCATAGCCAGTCCCCTTTTTTCATCTCAATGTCATCTCGTCCAACTCGCCTTCTTGGAGGGGGGGGAGGCTGCTTTACTTTTGGGGGTGGCTTTTTGATTACTGGAGGTGGAAGATTAGGATCTATTGGAACTGAACTCAACTTGACAACCTGATGAAGTAACTTACGGACTACAGTCTTCACAGACTTTTGTTTCAGAAGTGACTTATTTACTACTGATCCATTTACAGGATCAAATCCATAAGCCAATAAAACACGCATTATATCAATAGTACGTGCCTCATCCTCTTTGTTAGTAATCAGATATGCTCTTTCGCAGGAATTTCTTAAACTGCAGGAACTGCAAACCTGGAATACGAATGAATACTCATTACAAAAAATGCTTAAGTTAAGCATTCATATCCATATGCACAAATAAATATGAGGGATGAGGAAAAGAAACTGGACCCTTCAGATACTATATTTTTCCAATATGGGACATATGTGGCATGCCACAATATCAACGAATATGAAAAGAAATACTGAAAGGATTTATACTTAAGCAATAGTCACTGCAGAATAAATGGTCATAGCATCCTAGACTCTAAAGGCTGAAAAATGGAGAACATGCAAATATTCTGGAATGTATAACAAATTATCTTGTACCTCAGAATGCCAATCATATTTATTTTGACTTGTTACTTACAAGATAAGCAAAATGACAAATGCTAATCAACAAGGAATGAGATGTCAGCGGTTAGATGCAATTTATAAGGCCAAGCAATACAAGGAATTATTCTTTAGTAACACTCACATCTCCTTCATCAAGGTGGGTATGCTTCCTCAACAGCTTTGAAGAGAAAACCACCTTCTTGTCCGTACTCGGGCATCCAAAACCCACCAAAACTTGAATATCCTGTCTCGACAAGGACCTGAAATTACTTTTTATCTCAGAACTTGTCAATCATAATAGCATTAAACACAAAATATGTTACCCGGCACATGTATAGACAATAAATTGTGCACTTACACTATTCGTCACTCATAATTCTAGGAAAGATATCAACTTATCTCCAAATGTTGTTTAGCATACAATCAAAAGTAACCATTTACACTTCATTTAGTATCAAGCCACAAACCTCATAATATCGAACCGGTCCTTCCCGAAATTAAGACATGCTGTTTGAACAGTCTTGAAATCCTTGAAATCAACACCTTGGGCATCTTCCTCTGCCGCCAAAACAGCTTCAGATGCATTAAAGCCGATATCTTGTATCATTCTATCCTCGTCGTTTCTCCTATGATCAAAGTAGTTCTGCTGCACCAGCCTCTCCATTAGTTCAATCCACTCCGGCCATGGGTGCACTACCTCTACCTCTTTCTTAGCTGCCACTGGTGTCTCAAACCTCTCCGACTCGGACGAAACTGAGTCAGAACTAATCAACTTAGCATTATTTTCGCTGTCACTGACAACTCCCAACCCTAATTCTGGGTTATTTTGGGATTTTTTGGATTCGCGCCAAGCTCGGATTTTTTGAAGGGTTTGATCCTTCTCGGAGCGTTCTTTCTCGATGGCGTCAATTTGGTCGAAGACAAAACTCAATCGTGCTGAGAGAGAGGAAGGTTTTGGCTCTAAAGAGGAGATTGGGGTTGGTGAGGTTGAGAAGGGTTTTAGGAGAGAGAGGAAAGCTGGAGGGGGATTAAGGTTCGGAGAACAGCGAGAAAGGCGTTTGAGTAGGAGCAGTGAGTGTGGAGTTTGTGCCATTTCCGGAAAAGAGTCGGAGAGGGAGAGAGAGTTTTCAACTATGGTGTTAAACCCTCCATGGATGAGAGGGGGAGAGAGGT